CAGTAATGACTACGCACATAGACGCACAGTCCCACTGACACTCTGTGAGGCTGATCATGCATGTGGACAGTTCATAGGAGGGACTGCATAGTGGGTCAGCACTCCCCACAGCTCCCAGGGCCCAGCAAGGTGCTATATACATGATGGGCATCAAAAAAGGTAGACCTATTGCTAAGAAGCTTATACATCTAATGGGGGGTGTGTGTATGGAAGGGGCACACAGATTTAAGTAGTACATCAAAACTGCTCCTGATAAATGCTATAGAAATAAGCCTTTTGAGTTTTCTGCCCATTCTGCAGCATTAATGTTTTGTATTATGCATTTTGAACAAGTTACATCTTTGTTCTCCAAAGCATGTTACTTTATTAATGTCTAATAAATAAAATGTATAGGAATGGCGTGATATGAGAGATTTCAGCCAGGTTGACTAGAACAGTAGGGGTTGGTGGTAGGAGCAGTGGTAGGATGATACCCAGGTTTCAAATGTGGGTGACTGTTGCCTTCTATTTTGGGAATTCCCTGCGTCCCTTCCCCAAATGCACCCCAGCCAATTTGTTGTCACTGGAATGACTAGGATCTGTCTCTAATTTCATCTACATCTCATTATGTGTCTGCTTTATCTCTCTGACTTCCAATTTGCCCTAGTATATCTAGTTTTAGTCATGCTTTATTGGCCTGAGCAGCCCTGAGATAATATGTGCAAAACACTTAACACAGGCAACTTAAACTGACGTGCAATAAGGTTCCAGCCAAGCTTTCTAGCATCATATTTGGCCTCTTTACTTTCACACTCCCATGCCTTCGCTCGTGACATTTCCTTTGCTTGGTACATCTTTTCCTCCCTTTTCTCTCCAGTATCAGTGCTTTGTTCACATGTCCTCTCCTCTGCAAAGTCTGTCTTCTCCAAAGTTACTCTGTCGTCTAGCCTTCAAAGTCATCGTATAGCTCACAATTGCAGCAGCGCTTGTCACAGACGGCCCTGACATGAGGTTGTACAGACATCTGTTCCTCCCGTAGATGGTGAGGTCTCTTTTGACGTCAAAGATTGTGCTGTCTTTATATTTGTGATCCCACAGCAATTAGAACCTTAGTGAATAATGGCTTGAATTGAGTAAGGACCTAAAAGGAGAACATAAGGAAGAAAGAGAGGCTGGGTCAGGAGGATGAGCACTTGGGCAGAGGTAAATAGTGGAGTGCAAACTCCAAAAGATTTGTACTTGTCAGTGTAGATCATCTGATTTTTCTAATTTACTTTTTAATTGGAATGAGCCTAATCATTTATGTTGGAAGAGCTACCATGAGCTACATCAAATGAGACTTGTTTCACCTCTGTGAGAAGACAACCTGGAGATACGTACTATATGCACTATTTTTAAAAACATTCATCTATTTGTTCCTCTAAATATCCTTGTGAGGTGGGATGGGCATTTTAAAGATAAGGGGCTAGAGGACGTAGACAAAGTCACACCGCAGTTAAACACTGAATCACATGCCACAGTCACAGTTGTGGCCCTGATATCACAGCCCCTGCTCTGCCCTGAGCAGAGTCGCAGGGCAGGGTGTGTTCGATGGAGAAATGCCGACCATGACCACGACATGCCCTTGGGAGAGGAGTAATCCAGGATGTTCCTGGTCAGAAGAGCACACCTGTGATCTCTGTGCGTCATCATTCTTTATTCAGCCACATCTGTCCTTCTCTGTGCCTCATGTGACCACGTTTTCTAGATTCTCGTCACTTGTGCTCTTGCAAAAAATCAGCTTCACTTTCTCCTTTCCAGTCTAATTTTAATCTTTTTTTTTTTTTTTAACGCAGGGTTTCTATACACATTTTAAATTGAGGGATTACTTCTTGCACATAATGGCTATTCAATTATTAGGTTTTTTAAAAAATGACTTGGGACTTTTATTAGCCACTGTAATGAATTTTCCCTTTCCGTGGCAGCCTCTGCCCCTGAGCTCCCTGTTCCCTCTGAGCTCTTTTGTGGAGGCAGCGCCAGCAAGCTAGATTGCAAGATGTGGCCTGTCACTCAAGTTTCTGCTATTCAGTGGTGATTTAGTCAATATGCTTTAATGACCTTGTAAAAAACATTTTTAATAAAATTGCCCTCAATATTTAGTTGCCCTTATTTTCCTTGGGGCCAATGTGCTCAGAATATATAATCTAGACTTTTTGCCCTCCTATTATGCAATGGAAGTCAGATGCTTTAAATTAATTTGCTGTTGCCCTAAGTTTCCTACACCCAGTCTGTGTTTTAATCCAGTGAATTAATGCATGCTAGGCATTGGGAACATTAACAGTTTCTCCAGTTAGCATTTTTGGTAAGTCATTTTTATCTGCTGTGTCATCCTGGCTAGACACTATGCCCTTCATTTATCTTGTGAGTCCTGGGGGGCACATCACCTCCCCATCAGCCCTGGAATGAAAATCTGCTCTTTCTATATAAAAAACAGCATGAGCTTAAGGAGCTGGCTTCAGTAATGTGCTTTACTTTCCTTTCATTATTTGCTCTTGTTTTTAGGGTTTTTTTTTAATAGCTCAGTGAGTCTTTGAATATTCGTGGCCAGACATTAGGTGTGGAAAATCTCTCTACAAACATGTTTTGAACACAGTGAGCATTGACTGGGGGCCTAGGTCAGCATTGGCAGGAGTCCTCTGCTTCCTGTGGGCTGTTGTGGGGAAGCCTCCCTCTGCCCCTGCATATACTGGGCTTCCCTGTGATACAGGGAGCCAGGCTGAGAATCTCAATGACCAAATAAATACTGCCAACCCAATGCCCTCACGAAGCCCTCACATAGGCACTGTTCCTCCTGCCTCCAGCCTCTGCAGCCAAAAAGCAGCTCTTCTTACAAAAAACTGCTTCAAGTTTTTGAGCACTTCTTTCTAAACCTACCTTTATGCACCTTGTGTGAGTGCATAGAGTGATGGAAGGCAGAAAGTACATTGTCAGCCCTATAAATAATATTAATAATTAACCAGTAGAGACAAATATTTGCCATCATTATTTTCGTATTGCAAAGTGTTACCAGTTGCTAGTCTTTACGGTCAATACTTAAAAAACCAAAAGCCCAAATGGACCAAGTGGCCTCCACTGACCACCGCCACCTCCACCAGCCATTCTCCCAGACCTTCCCACCGCCTGTCATGAAACATTAACCAGGGGAAAAAACACTCAAGAAAGGGAAGCTGTGCAATGTAGCAAAAAATTAAAGAAAGGATCATGTGAGAATGCCCTGGGGGTCTTTTAGAAGCCTGGCGGATGGGATAGTCTAACAGGAAGATTACAAATAAGTACATAAAGAAGTAGTTCATGAGACTGCTGCATGCACTGAAGTCAGTGAAACAAGGAGATGTGATAGAGACCATTTTAGAGAGAGCAGTCAGGGAAGGGCTCTCTGAGGGGGGTGACTTTTGAGTTGAGTCCTGAAAGATGAGACCTGAAAGAAGCTAATCAAATAAGCTGCAAGAGGAACACACATAGGAGAAGCCAGGGATGGGGGCTGCAGGGAAAGGGACCACCACCATGTACTTACAGAAGCAGAGAAGCCACAGCTGCCCTCCAAGCCCACACTGGGTCCTGGGAACCGCTGCCCTCCACTTCCATCCCTCCCTGCCTACCTAATCCCAACTTGCAAAGATTGTCGTGAATCCAAAAGCAGGCCATTTCTTATGAGGTCAGAGGGCAGGCAGTTGCTTCCACAATCCCTTTCCCACCATAGCACTGGAGTTGACTCTTGAATACAAGTCTACTTATGAATGAAAAGGCTGAGGAGCATACCCACAATTAATATCTAACCTTGAGACTAAAACTGGCAAAGATATCTTTTTATCCCCCTTAAATTACATAGATATTTGCTTTCTCCAAAGGAGCAACTGTTCCTAGGCATGGCCCAGCTAACTAAGGGACTGGGAGAGATTTCTTGTCACATCAGACAATTGCACTTTTTGGCGTGCTGATTAGGTGTATATCCTGTATTAGGTAAATTGCTACGCTTCACTGCACTTTCACGAATTGGATGAGAAAAATCCTCAGGAGGGTGCCACTGGCAGGCCATGCTGCAGGCAGGATGCTGCTGGGTTTGAGATCAAGGAGCGGACGCCAGCGCTTTTATGTCTGTTTTCTGCAGCAAGAAAAGTCAGAAGCCAAGTGAAGAGGGGGAAAAGTCCGGCCTCTTATCTACAAAATTAGAAGCAATTCTTAAAATGTCATGGGCTTTTATTGATCTGTTCCCTAATGGCTCTACAAGTCGAAAGTGAAATTTTTAATAGTCCTTAAAGATGTTGCAAATGTCATCGGCCCATTGTCTGTATGTCTTTGGGAATCAGTAAGCCCTGTGTAGCATTCTTGGGAAAATTGCAAGATGGAAGGGGAAAATGCCATAAAAGAATGTCTGATCCCATGTGGATTTGGGAAGGGGTTAGGAACAGAAAGTTACGATGACATTTGAGTCTAGGAAGAAGCGAGCATGGTATTGCCTGGTGATCGAGTAGATTACCTGAGTTCAGATCTCAGCTCCACAACTTAATCTGTGTGACCTTCGGCAACGTATTTAATCATTCCGAATTTTCATTTTCTTATGACTATAACAGGGACAATAATAACAACACTTATGTAAAACATCAGCATAGATAATTCATGTGAAGGCATTGAGCCTGGCCATTTTTTGAATTAGTACTAGTAAGAAACTATTTTTAGGTTTTGCGTATTCTTGGACAGACTTCCTGGAGTTGTTGAGGAATGCTGTTTCTGGCCAGTCTTCCAGTGGTCCTTTCCGTGGAGAGAGGTTAGCAGCCTTTGCTTTTTAAAGTATAGTCTCTATTTTATTAGGATATGGCCACAAATTAGGGGCCAGTGGTGGGATAGAAAGAAACATGAGATAAAGCAAATAGCAAAGGAATCATAAAAACGGGGCTACACGAATGGCATGGAAAACAAAAATTTATATCTCAATTTTTAACCCTGTATCTCTTCCTTCATCTCTCACCTCCGATTTGTTGAAGGTTTTACTGTGTGTCACCTACACCCCGACATTTGACCTGAATGGGAGTGCCGTGCTGAAAATCGCGGAGGTGAGTGCTGCCTGTGTTTGTGCTTCCTGCTCGCAGCTGCCTTCCTCTAACTGGGGTAGATATCAGGGCGGAACCGAGCCCCAGGAGTGGGGTGAGCCCTTCCCTGATTACGACCGTGGGGAATTTCTACTAAGGAATTGATCCATGGGAAGCATGCTATGTGGCCCACCACCCTTAGTTACTAATATAAAGCCGTGTGTCGTGGGGCCCTGCATGCTTGTGTTTGCTGAACTCGAGGCCTTAACCGTGGGAATAACAGTGCCAGTTCTCCTTGCCCTGCTCTAACCAGGCATATTGTGTTCTCAGTCCCTTTTTCCTAAGATTAATTGAAAAGCATTTGATTTTAAGAAATGCTTCTTAAGAGACCACAGATGAGATTTAGGGAGATGTTTGTTGATTAAATCCCATCCCCATCTCCTAAACCCTGACGAATGCATTTTGTAGCTATCATTGAAAAGCCTTCTCTTGTCAATCCACATTGCAGCCTAGAGTAACATGTGCTTCCAGCACTGCCGAGGACATGGCCAACAGAAAACTTGGCTTCTAAATGTCTGGCATATGCCTTTGGCTTTTAGAAACATCATCATTTCAAAGCTGAATTTTAATATGCTTAGAATAATTTTCATTCCGTTTCTTGAAAAGAATATCTTCAGGATTTGTATACTCTGATAAGAGTACACATTCAGACCACATAGAGGCAATGATTTTCTGAATTTTGAAATTATGGAGAAAAGGGCTAATTATCAGCACTTGTGGGTAGTATTTATAGTAGCAGATACATGTACCTCTAATGGACTTGTGTGGTATTAAAGAGTGAAAATTATTTTTGAGCATGTAGAAATGTATGTGTCTATCAAAAGAAAAGCAAGCAACTGATCAGTTGACCTCTCACTACAACATAAATTACTTTTTACATATGTATTGATATAAAGAACACTTTTGTTTAACTCATTTATATGTTGTACTCTGTGTAAGTAATAAAATGGAATAGTTATCAGTATTTGTTTTTAATCGAATTTTAAGAAATACCTGTGAGTGCTCTTAATTTTTGCAAGTTCGCTTTTCAAAGGACAGTGTAGTTTCTGAAAATAGCAAGCAGCAGGATTGGCTTATGAGAGGCTAGTTAGCCCATCTGAAGGAAGAGAGGGGAAGTGCAGCGGGTCACTGCTAAGCCGCTGCCCCTGCTGATGGAGCCAGAGCAGGGGGACAGACAGCCCTGAGGAGGGGAGGCCTGTCAGGGGGCGCCACGCTACCCGTGGAGAGGAGAAGTAGGTTGTCAGTATCATCCTCACAGGAGCCAGTTTTTCAACGGGGGTTCGGATTGTTTCAGGTTTTATTTCTTGATTGGCGGGCCCCCCCGGCCAGGTTCGCACAAGTGAAGGGTGTTCACTGAGAGAATCTGGAAGCCAGAATAAAGACTCAGCCGCCCTGCCCAGATAGGATGCAATATCAAAACATGGTGGTCTCTTCCAAAACCAGAAAAGGAAAAACAGAAGAAAGAAAAAAATCTTAGCCAAAGAACGATATAAAGATAAAGGCATTTGAACTTAGTGGTGCAAAGAATGGGCTCTGAAGTCACACTGGAGAAAAATCCTGGTCAACCACCTCCCAGTGGTGTTGCCTTGGATACCTCTCTGCACCTCATATTTGCTCTCTGAAAGAAACGATAAGTAGTTCCTAGCTCGTAGTGTGGTTGTGCCAATTAGACAAGAAAAATACAATCCATATAAAAAGCTTTTAGTGCACATCCAGCTACATGGTAAATGTTAAATGTTTGCCGTTGCCACTTTTCAGATCATTAGAAAAATTTATAAAAGCACCTTAAAAGAAACCATTTAAAACTCCTATGGAAAGGTTAGGAAAGAATCTAGTTTTTCTTTCTTACTCTTATATACATTGTTTTATTACTCAAGAATAATGTTTACCCTGAAACCTGTTGATCAGGAAATGGGATGTGTACTTAAGTATGAAAAATGAGGCTATTTCCCCATGATACTGCAGAAACTATAAAAGGATCATTAAGTTCACAAAATGTAGATAAGAAGACAGCCTTTGTTTGTGTATCTAACTTTAACTTGCTTAATTAAACTGCAATAATGAAAGTCTTTTTAGAACAGCATCCTCTGTGATAGAAGAAGAATAAGAAATAGTATCTGGTTTAAAAATAAACTGTTATGAAATATCCAACAAGTGTTTTCTGTACAATTTCATGGTCAGTCATTACAAGAACTCCATATGGATGCATAATCCTCTTCATTGATTGAAAGCTGAGCCCAAGATTTCTCTTAATATTATGCCCAGATTAGCAGATATGTTGAGTTTTCTGAAGAAAGTAACCTTAACGTAGGAAAAAGCTGCAGGAGTAGATATTGCCAAAGAATAGGGTAGAGGAAAAGGTGGAGCCATAGCCAGAAGCTCTCTGAAGCTAGTTTGAAGGTGGTTAATGATGTCGTTTCATTGGAAAGACTTAGGACATATTTTCTTGCCCGCTGAAGGCTCCCCTATGGGATTTCTCAAAGGCAAAAAGCCTAGTTTATAAGTGCGTATTTACTGGTTTGATCTTATTGATTCATGGAAACTTTCGGTCTTCAATTCTGTAGCATGCTATCAGGTTCAAGCAAAATCTGTCTCAAAGACCATTGGGTTTTTTTTTCTCTAAGATTCATACTTTCAGGGACCTCTTTTTTTCACTCCTTCTACCCATCCATTCCCCCTCCATTCTAAAACACTGCTTAATGTAATGATAATAGCTATGAGTCATTGAGTCCTTAAGGCATGGCAGTAACTGGCATTTTATATATATGCATTTTCTCTTTTATTCTCTACCACAACTCCATAGAGAACCCCAAGCAAAGGTTAATTTGCTTGCCCAAGCTTCTATAGCTACATATTCAAATCCAGACTTTTTATATTTCAAACATGTGCTGTTAACCATTCTGTTATATTGCTTCTTGACTCAGTCTTAGAAAATCTTTATAGAATCTTGCCATGATAATACTGGCAACAAACTGAAGTTCTTTGAAGTCTTATTCCCTTGGACCTTCACTGAAGCATTTAGTTAGATAATTGCTAGGTGGTGTTTTTACATATGAAGCTTAAGTATTGATACATTTCACTTTTTTTGTGACCGTAGAGTCAAGTGGCCATTAGGTATATGCCACTTTTCATAGATATCTTTACATATTAATAGTTTGTCTTTTCTGAGCTTTATATTATCATCAGAGGATCTGGAGCTTAGTAATAGTTCTGCCTGTTACCCAGTGGAGCTTTAAAAACATGGAAGATTAAGACTTGCCACTAATGATTCTGATTCAATAGTTCTAGTTGTCACTAAAGTATTTTTTCATTTGGGCTGATTTATAACTCTGAAAATGTTCAGTGATACTTTTTTTTACTCTGACGTGATGGTATTATTTCTGAGACAAACCTCAACGTGTTAAGAAACAGGTAGTCTCCAGTTATTATCCAGAAGAAAAGTACACAGATGCCCGAATCTACTTATCTTGGAAGCGTCTTACTATGTTTTGTCCTCTGTAAGACTGGGAGGAGTTGCCCCACCTTCTGGCAAGAAAACTAGCCAAGGGAGCAGGACAACTACTTCAAACTAATTGATACCATTAGAGTAAGGAATCCCATTCTAAGGAGCTTCTCTGTTCCATCCTGAAACCCTTTCTTTTCTTCTCCATGCACCAGTCTCTTTATTGATTCTGGTTTGACTCCTCTGGGGCGTCTGTTCTTAAACTACTTACTGATGGATGGGCTGAGCAAGCTAGTGCTGCTTTTGCAAGAAATTTCAACTTCTTCCTTAAAAACCTCTGTCTTGCATGTCTCTTGAAGAACTTATTTGATATTAAAAGACACACAGCAATGTGCGATCTCTCTATCTCATTTTAAACAGGTTCGTGGGGCAGAGGCTGGGTCTCAGTAGATCTTCTGTAGACCAAACAGAAGGCACCTGGGAAGGTGCAGGAATTGATGGGTTAAGGTGTCTTAAGCCCTTTTAATATGCCAACTTGGGCCAAGCAAAACAAGGAGGAGAAAGAGGAACGTCACAATCAGTTTTCATGTGTGCCTGGCACCTTACAAAATTTCCTTTTGAGTTGAGACCCAAAAGGAAAAGCAGCAAACTTCACTACCCAAGAAGGTGATCAAACTAACTTATACACATATTTCCTAGGAATAATAAAACTTCAATTCGCTCTGTGCGTGTGTGTGTTTGCATCAGCAGGACCCATTTGATGAGGTGTTTCCTGTCACATACCCACATGTTAACAGCTGTTCACCTGTCTTAGGAAGGAGAGACTAGGAAACAGCCCTGGTAACTCATTTGTTACCGTGATTCATCACAGAGTTTAGATTCACGGTGATAACCAAAATTTTCTCTGGTTCTAATGTGATCAATAAGCATTTATAGTCTTCTCCGTACAGAAGGTGTTTTTTCCTGCTTTTTTGTAGCTTAATCTCTGATCCCTTCTATTTTTATCACCATACATTATTTTTCATCTCCATAAAATTTTTCCAATTATAAATATACTAGCTCTTCTCTTTATAGAACTTATCACTTAGTATTACACAGTATTTTAACAAAGCTGTGCCAATAACCCCATTCAGACTGGAAAGAAAAAGTAAAATGTACAGTTTTAACAAAGTAAAAGTCATATATTTTATAAAGCTAAGCAAATTTCTGTGGTGGCATCTTCTTTAAAATTCGTGATCGCTTTGGCCAATATATATTGAATATCTGCTCTGTTCCACTGTGCTGCTTCATATTTAGTAATTTAGTGATTCTGCCCTGGCTTTAACCTAATACTGTTATTTATCAGCCTACTTCCCCAATGATGTGAAATTTTTACTGCCTGTGTATGGCCTGCAGACTTGTGTTTTCTTGTTCTTTTTCCTTCTACTTTTGGGATTTATTTTGCTTCTTTAACCATTTGTGTTTTTGCTCTCAGTTGTATTTAGCATGTTGTAAAGCTGGTTGTCCGCAAATGCATGCAATGATCAAAGTGTCCATTCTAAGTCTCCTCACTGCCTGGGGTCTTTGTATGTTCCCTGTGATCAGAGCCCTGGGGCTTGTCACAAGGTGTTTGACTTGGCACTTCAAGCCTCCGGCAGATGTGCGGGACTAGGCTTTCCAGGTGTCAGTTCTGCATTATGAAAGCAAAGGGCGTGAGGGGGTAGAATGAATATTGGGGAGAGTAAAAGAAGAAACCGATGAGCCCTTTCCCAGAAACTCGGCCTGCCTTTGGGCTTGGTATTCTCTTGGCCTCTCTGACTCAGTACTCATTTTAGTACTGCCCCAAGGTAGAGGTAGAAAAGAAAAACATTCACGTAGTGAAAAGTCATTGGTCTTCAATACAGTAGACAGGTTTAAAATGGAAATTCTAGTTCTGTGAATCTTACTAGGATACCAATTTATTATTATTATTACAACAGGTTTAAGAAACTTTTTTTAGAAGACGTCAGGGGAGCTGATAAAGCATTTCTTTCTGAATACCTAAAGGTAGTGATATTATCAAATACATGGTAATTTTATATTCAACAGGATATCCTTTTGTCATATCCGGTATTTCTACTCCCAACTTGAACAGAATGGGCTTCTTAGATTAATACTTTTTTTTTCTGAGTAAACATGCTCACCTTTTCCTTTAATAAAATGCCTCTTATAATATCACGTTCAATGTTACGTATCTAGTACTAACAATTAAACATTAAAACTCAAAAAGATATAGTTGTCTGTTTACAGCACTGTGTTATATAAAATCCAGTTCCTCATGTGTGATTCCTTTCATGAGTCTAAAGTGACTGATGTAATTTTTAAGGGAGGTCGCATAGTGGATGGCTCTCCATATTCAAGAGAGTTTATATTAAGTGTGTATGTAGTTCAGTTCTCAAAATAGCTACTCATCATCATTGATGCTTTTAAACATTCATCGTTAATGCTTTTAAGACTTAAAATTCCCCCTTATAATGTCAGTGCTTAGAGATCAACAGTTATAATGATTTCTTGGGAAAATGTAAGATTTAAAGAAAACTGAAATTACAAGGTACAGGTGGTACTAGTGTGTCTGATTACATGATGCAGAATTTGGTTTCATCGAAGTGAAACACTGCACTCATTTAGATATATTTTCAAGGTTTTTAAACTATTTTATCATATGCAAAAGTAGAAGCCTTTCAGGATTAAAACAACTTTTTTCCTAAGTATGCATAAATTGTTTTACCTTCAAATCCATTATAATCCGTGATAATTTGAGAAAATGAATTTAAAATTCACATGCCCTAAATAGTTTTATGAAAAATAAATATTTTGTAACTTGCTTTTATTTTGAAACTATGAAATGAATTAATCTAGGCCAACTTTCACATAACAGGTTTCGGGGTTTTTTCCTAACTTGGGAAGATTGTCTTTGTTTATTTTTTTTACCAATACGGTTTTAAGTTTCAAATGTTCCTTTAAAATATTAAGCATTCAAAAGGAGATAGATTAAACTTTTAAAAATGTTTAATTTTAACTAGTTAATTTTACTAAAAGATAATGCGAGGTATGCAGAAAACTTCCTAGCTTAGGAACCAGTACAAAGATTAACATTTATTAGTCTCTCACATGTCTTGTTTGTCAGACATCAAATTAAATTTGTCATTTAGGTGAGAAGCCTGTATTTTCATTTTAGATAATCTTGAATCTATTCCTAGAAAAATAACTTAGGTACATTAAATGCCTCTTTTTGGTTTTGTGTGTCTAAATATGCTTTGTAAAATTGAATGCCTTACCGAAAGAAAAAAAAAAAGTGGCAAACTTAAAGCATGTACTGTCTTGCCCATCCCTGTAGCTTCCAGAAGAATTATAGGCAATAAAATCTGAAAAGTCATGACTTTTAGCATCATCATTATCAAATGATGGGGTTTATAAAATTGGGATTTTTCCAAGCAGTAGCCACCAGGGAGTCTTTTTATGCTCAACTAGACATTCAGACTCAGAAGAATCAAAGAGACCACAGTTGGTGTTATATTCACTTAGTAGGACACAGGACAGGAAACACAAGCAAGAAAATGTTAGGCATTTATCTTTCATAGGGGTCTTTGCAACTGTCCAGAGAATAATCTCTGGCTCTCAAATGACAGTGTAGGTGCAAGATGAGAGCCACCTCGGTGAATGCAGAGTCACCTTAGGCCTAGGAGCCCCATGTCCCACATAAACCAATATTTCTGAATTTTATGAGCAGAGCTTGCAGAGTTGCTTCAGAGGACATGCTCAGTTGCAAGAATTACTGCACCCAGGGAAGCCCAAACCTGTGGCTACCCACCAGGTATTTAGAATTGATTCACAGTTATCCCAGTTCAGATGCAGTTTAGTAATCACGAAACATTGTTACCATAGCCATGCTACTTAGTAACACGGCTGATGTTCTACCCCTATCAAATGTCCAGGAGAACACGGAGAGCTAACCTAAGGTCAAACTCATTCATAGAGCAGGAGAAAGGATTCTGTTAACCCTATACCCATACTTCATAACCCAGGAGTTAATAAATTCTATTTTGCTGCGAAGGGAGCTTTTCCTGATTAATATCCAGCCACCTGAGTTTGTTCTAGATAGAATTATTTGGCAAATCTGAAAATCACAAATTTGCATTCTCCTGTGATGCTCAGAAAAGCAGGTTGTAAAAGTGGTATTTTTCTGATATGCTTAAAAACAAATTTCCAGGGATTTTAAATATGTTCAGTTATTTTCATTAATATCCAGTCCTAAATCAGGCTGACTTTCTGTTTAAGAGAGATTTGATATCCTCTCTGGTTAATTCCAAAGAACGTTGGTAATAAGCTGATACCTACAGAGCATTTGTGTTGCTGTCTTATTTCTTTACCAGGTGTGCATTGAGACATACATATGCAGCTGTCACCAGCGTAGCATAAACACTGCTGTCCGGGCAACTCTCAGCCAAATGCTGAGTGACTTGACTTTACAGTTACGACAAAGGCAGGAGAATACGGTGAGTCCTTGGCACCCTCACCCCATTCTGGTGGTGTCCATCAGTCCCATGCCCTGGTGGCCGTCCTGCCAGGGCCGCTTCCTACTGGAAATAGTAGGAAGGGCTTACTTGTTTTAGAAGAACATTTATTTGCGTAAATGAAGCTCTTTAGATTTTTGTCTGTTTCACCCCAAAAGCTTTGAGAGTTTTTCCTTATGGTTTCCATAATTTTTCAGTCATTGTTTTAAAATTTACTTTTCTTTTAAAATCATTTTTTAAAACTTCTCCTATTGAAAATTTCATTTAAAATGTGATATATTAACAAATGCTGGAAGTAAATTTGAAATTAAGAAAAATAAATAGAATTCATCATATGCTTTGAGACTTGATATGTTTCTCTGTGTCACCTAAAAGATTGTGGCGGGAGGTCACCCCACCTGCTGGAGCCTTCTGGGTAAAGCTGAACTTCTCTGTTCTCTGTCATCAAAGCCCACTAGAGCTTTTTGCTCAAAACTTGAACAGATTGTCTAAAGTGAGCATTTCAGGGAAAAATGTAAATGTAATTGGTTGCTTATATATATTATCTTCTGGGAATGTTAATGAGAGGATGATTCCTCTTCAAAATTGGTGTTTTGTATTTTTAAATCTGCCTCTGTAATAAGTCAGATTAAAATCTTTTTAAAGTCTGTAAGCAATGCTCTGAAATGGCATTAGTTATATTTTTAAGTAGGAAATCTCAGTCATAGTCTGAAAGAGCTCAGAAATTAATTTTCCAGAAATTAAGATTTCATGTTTAACTTCAATTATTTGTAATTTTTAATTTCAATTATTTTTATCATTTTTAGCAAATTATGGAGTTGAGGGGAACCTTAGAGATTATCTAGTCAAATTCTTTTATTCCTCATTTTACAGATGAGAAGATGAAGCCCAGAGGGATGAAATTGAAATCTAAAATTAGTGAGCTTCCCCGTGAAAGAGCCAGAACTAAACCCCTCAATAGTCTCCTAGCTATTCCCAGTCCAAGTTTCAGTTAATGTGTATTCTGGCAGCTGGTGTTGAAAAACAGCACTAATCTGAAAAATAAATGTTGATTTTTTTTTTCTTTTCTGTTTGCTAGCCCAAGTTTCTATTAAAAATTATTTTAACTTGAGATATTTTTATTACTTTAGCTTAACCCTTGTTAAAAACAATTTCATTTGTATTAGGATTTTGAATATGGTGGTGTAGGATATTAGTTTAGAAGAAGTTAAAATCTATAAATAGAAAACATTAAGAGAAAAAAGTATGTTTAATGGAAATCTAAGATGTGAATTCTTACGTTAATAAATAGTCATAGCCCATCCTTACTAAATGGCAACACGATCAAATGCTATAATATTAACATCTTAATGTCTTAAAAATGAAACATTTAAATGAAACTTGTAGTTTCAAAATGCTTCTGATTATATTCATTTAAAAAGTTTTAGGTTTCAAGTCAAATGCCTCAGCCTTTCAGCTCACATTGTTCTTCTGTGAGAATGGTAACAAGTAGTTATAGAGTTCTGGATGATACTGTAGGACAGTCTACCTCTGTCCTGGGTATGGGGTGGCTTACCAGCCTTCTGGTCCTGCTCACCACTGACCATCTGGATTCACCCCAACAGGAGGCAAGATCCCAAATTAGGGGGAAAATTAGCATTTCCTGTTATTTCCTTTTTGTTACTCATGCAGCCCCTGGATGTGATTCCATGTCCCAGAAAAACACAATTCTTAGGATGCTAATATTTGCAGCATTTGTGATGTGTGGTGAAGGGAGACCCAATTAGGTATTTTTTAAAAAGTTATTGAAGGGGAGGGGTCCATAGGAATGATAAGATTTGCTCTAAGGAGTCTGTGTGTTCCTCTGGGGGACACAGCATTACCTGCTGAAGATGTGTGTATTTTCTAGCATGACCCATCCCTGGGAAGACATCATGGGCTGCCTCAGAATTACGAAGGTTCAAATACAGTGGAAGGAAAATAATGTAGAATGCCAAAAACATAAGCATGAATGAAGTATACCTTCAACCTAACATCTTTCCCCATCCTACCCCCACCGGGGGGTACAGATTACAGGACAGATTACAATTTTGATTTTATAGCCTTGGAAACCCTGCATATTATCCAGCTTTATTATTGAATTATTTCAGGTGACCAAAGCCATTGTTAAATTGTAAGTTACTAACTTCAAAAAGCAAAATTGCCTCATAGAAATGTTTGGGGCTAGGGGGTGGGGGCAGGGATTCTCCTACCCTTAAAATGATTCAGATATGTTTACTCTATAAATATTGTTCTAAACTTGTATTTAGCCATGTGCTGAGTGGTAGACACTGATATAACATTTCATAAAAATGTTGTGGAAGCAGCTGAGCTTGCAAATTAATGAACAGAGAATAGTAGAAATATGGACCTATAACAAGCTTAAAAGAAATCAGCACCATGGGATGATTCACATGTCTAATAGTTAATTGGCATGAAAACGCCTTATTATCTCTTGGTGCAAGGAGGTAGGGAAAATAAATGCTTCCTTCCTAGTCTCAGCTCAGTAGTTGCTGAGTTACCCCTGCAATGGGAAGCAAGTCTTAATAGTTGTAAACATCTTTCCCTTCCTTCAAGATTCTGTCTCTGCCCTGATATTTCTGGATCTACCCAGCAGTAGCCAAGAGTAGCTGGTCTGGTCAAACAGTCAGAGGTTAATCTGCTCCCCAACCAAATAGGAAGACGATACTTCTAGCCAGTGGTCAGCTTTGGACCTGTATTTTGGAGTCCAGCAGCCTAATCCTTCTCATGGCTAAGAGTCTATATTTATTAGTTGCCAAACATAGACTGTGGCCTTGTGATAAATTATTCTCTGTGTAAAATTAACTCACCTCTTTAGGCAGGCATTGCCCCAAGTCATAGCCCAGCACCCAGGAATCATAAAGTACACCATAGGGCTTAAACTTTCTGGAATTTTGTGGACTCCTGAGTGAATTATTTTGGGAACTGATAAACTCAGTTCCAGACATCATAGTCTTTCTCATAACCACCATGAGTACTGAAATGCTCTCAAGAGCTAGAGAGGATGCTTAGGCAAGGAAGCTGAGCCCAGAGCACTTGGGATGCCATGTTGTTTCTTAGAATTTTCCATTGTCCAAGAGTCAGGATTTTTCTTGCCTGAATTTCCTAATTGTCTGTGTATGTCTCCCTTACTAGATAATTGAAAACCCGGATGTCCCACAGGAATTCGGGAATCAAGGTATTGGATTTGATTTTTACTAGTTCAGTTTTAAAAGTAGGTATGAGAATGCCTACTACGCGCTTGGCGTCGGGGGTGTAAAGATGACAAGGAGCTCTTGGGTTAGTTTGCCATTCTCTTGGAGGTTGTGCTTAACTTTGCCTCACGGGGTATTATTTATTCAGCTGTTGTCCTCCTTCTCTTCCTATACTCACCTATGCCAGCCACACCTATTCCTGATCCAACTGTGCAGTGGAAATGAACTCTTCACATACCTCTCATTTGGAGGCTGCTTGTTAGTTACTTCATTTTCCACAAAGTCAAGCTTAATTGCTAAAGTGAGAATAATTGGGTAGGATAGAGGGTTGCAGAAACCTGATTGGCATGATACAGTGCTATTGCACCAGAATTACGTTTGTCAAATACTAATTTTTTGACATGAAAATTGAGTAATCTCACAGGGAATCTTGCAGACAGCCCAATTTAAGTAGCAGATGAAATCAAGTTAAGGAACTTTCATTCTGACCCACAGGAAAACAAAAACTATAGAAGTCTATGCATAATTGACAAGCATTTTAATTTTTAAAAACAGATTTGGTAGTATTAGCCCCTGAAAGAGATAAGAAAAATTCAAATCATCTGATTAAAAAATTGAAATGTAGATTTTATTTCAGACTTTATTGAATAATTTTTTTAAATATTGGAAAAAATCCGCTTTGCTTTTATATTTTTACCAGTTAACGACAGGGACCAGAGGGTAAGGGTAGGGAGAAGATGAAAAGGAGAGGGAATGAAAGAAAGAAAGAGGAACAGCTAAACAGCCACAATTAGGATAAAAAGAGTAAATGAAAGAAATGCTTTAAGTCATTTTCTAAAGCATTTGGAGTGTATTGTTTTAGCTCCCTCCTGCTGTGTTCTTGGCTGTGGGCCAGAAGATATCCTTTCAGCTTGGGAAGCTCTCAATGATATGCTCCAAGGTTTTCCAACTGTCTTTTCCTCTCTTTTTGGCTATTGCATTCTCATAAAAGCTTTACTTTAACGTAGGATGATTTTATAAACTAAAAAGGAGGTCAAAGCCCTCTTGGTCAAGGATACATCTCTAAAAATTAGTAAAAAATTGATGGAGGGATTCATTTGAAGTTTATCTAAAGTTGAGCTTAAGGACTACTTATAGGTTTTATTTATTTCATACTATATTTTGTCATTGTACCTTATCATTTCTCAATTTTTTCCCTGCATTTAAGATTTTAAATTATGAGCGTCAGCTATTTATTTCTCTTTACTGTGTCTTCCTCTTTTATTTTCTTTCTTACACTCTTGCCATTTTTTTCTCCATCTTCCTTGTCTTCCCAGTCATTTATTCATTTATACATTCATCAGATTCTTAGCCACATGTTATAGGTTTTTACAGAGTTTTATTTTAGAAAACAAATGCTATTTGTTATTTAACTTGGCCTGACAATTCCGTGAATTTGGTATTATTCATCCCATTTTGCCAAAACTGAAACTTATCCAAGCTCACACAATCAGCAAGTTGTGGACCTGTAGTTGAACCTGTTCCAAATTGTATCCTTTTTCCCCCGAAGTGCTTCTGTGGGAGTTTTGATTCTAGTTTCTGGAAACTAGAACACCTTTGGAGGGAAAAATTATTTTTCTGATACTGGCTGTCACTCCATAATCAACAAAGACCATATGTCCTGTGGACACTGAACAAATACTTAAAGTAGGTAAAGATGATGGCTGAATTACTTTGCCCTTTTTTTCTCTGGTTTCTTAGTTCCAAAGTCCATCTTTTTCCATGCTTCCTTATTTTATCCCCTGGAATACAACTTCAGCTCAGAAGACCCAGAAATTCAAGAGGGACACATATGTAGCCTACCAGCCTAAATATTGAGAAAATTGTTGCCCATTGTGTTTTTTTTTAATTAGCTAAATCTCCTTTTGTTAAGTGTGAGTGAATTTTATTTCTAAGAAACAATCTATTATTTTTTACTATCTTTGGAGTTTTTTACTTTAGAAAGGGATAATTATACTTGATTCTTATCTTTTCTGTCATCATTTTAGTGGCCTAAGGGTTTCTCCACATCTGAACATCAATCATCTTTTTAGTCCTCAAAGACATCTAAAGTGGAGGCTGGGACGGACTGTTCAGGGAGCTTGTGGTGCCCCCTGCGATGTCTAATGCCTGTCACCTCCTCTGTTTTGAAGGGCGCACGGTAGAGTCCCTCTGTGATGATGTTGTCTCTGTACTCACTGTCCTGTGTGAGAAGCTACAAGTCGCCATAAAGTAAGTGCCTTAACCATTACTGCCCTTATCCGGTCTATTTCTGAAATAACTTTTTTCTACAGCATTCCTTAAAATTGAAGATTACAGAGACAAGAGTTTCCCTCCACTGGTATTCACCTGTCATTCCTGAGGAATATATTCTGGAATTTTGGGCAATGTCAAATTACCAAATGCTATTACTAAAGTATATGATTTTCTGATGTGAAAATGGGAAAACAATACCTTGCAAAGAAGAGTTAATCTCTTGAACATGGAGCTGGGTGGGGAGAATGTTGGGCTAAGAGCTAGCTGGTGTAAGGGCTGGTCCTAACTCGGGCAGATCCCAGCTGCGTGCCTGCGAATGACTCTTCTCCAACTGTGCTGCATTTTCTTCTTCTGTCAAAGACAAGGTTGGACTGTGTGATCTTTCTTTATTTCTTCCAATGTTCCCTGAGCCTATGAGCTCACACACACATCTTTTAAAAAAGCTTGTTGTTCTGATTTTTATATAGTTTTCCATTTTTGCATGCCAGCTTTATCAATGATAAGAGTTCATTTAGGTGATGTCTGCTGCCCCAACTCTCCATGTAGTCAGTTAATAAGACAATTTATATATCTGCACTAAAGCCAGATCATTAAAAAAAAAAAATAAACACAAAAAACAGACTTTCAAGATGGGATGAAATGTCTCTATTAGCTCCATATGTAGTGAATTGCAAAATTCTACAACACAGTAAGAACCTAAAGTGCCCTTTGAATTATGAAAGACACATTAAACCATCACTTATTGGTAACTAGAACATTTGATAATGCAGAAAACATACTTGTAGAATTTTAAATACAGAAATGAGTTAGGAGAAATAGTCTATTTGCAGACATGACTGAGGTCTCTCACTTTGCTGGAAACATG